ATATAGTCTTCCATTGTGACGAGTGTGTCACTGTACAACGATCACCGAAGAGCCTAATGCACACGAATATCCGTTTGTGTTTGCTGTGACCGAATAACCTTAGGATCGAACCCGCCCAGTTCAGTGTGGTATTCTGATGAACCGCGATTATATTATAATAGGTAGGTATTATAAATCACTACCGTATAGGTACCTACACCTCGACGCGATCGATCAGACTTGGTATTTAATTTTTTTTTTTTTTAACTATTTACAAGCTTATAAACGTTATTCGGAAGTAAAATAATCGATATGTGAGTATATAAATCCGCAGAGTTTGATCGTTTACCGGATTTTAGTAAGTACAACACAATGTTTGAATTTGATAATGGATCAAAATATCAAATGTAGCATTGATGTACTTACTACAAAGTAAATAAACCGCGTCTGATGCAGCACTTGTATATTACCTACCTAGGTATATAATATTATTCGAGTATTCTCGAGGTAAAATATATATTATGATAACATCTAAAAAGGAAATGAACCGCAGATGTTTGGAAGATAATTTATTTATTTTTGGACATTTTTTCCCCTTTCAATAGGTTTTTTTTCTTTCTGTGTAATTGACAAATCGCGACGGAATACTGCTGCAGAGACACGGATCGAAGGCCTAGTGACACTTCAATGTACGTCGACGCTCGTTCGTTCACGGCTATAACAGTCGGAACCTTTCACCGGCTGTATCCGTTAATGGATTCGCCGAGCAAATATGTTCGCCGCCCGCGCACGATCAATCATAATGGTAATAATAATATAATAACAATATAACGTTGCAGCAGTATTCTAGTACCTACGGTAATAAATGTGATCAAAATAATAATAATAATAATATAAATATATAGATACGTATAGGTAACGAAAGAAAATATAACAATATTATATCAACGGGTAATACACTCGTGGTTTGTCCATCGGCCGTGCCAGATTGAAAAACCAGATGGCCCCTTCGGGTAATTTTCAGGCCGTTGTCACAATACATAATAATATAGTGAAATGAACGTTCGAGGACATAACATTCTTAATCCAATTACGCTGCATACGTACAATGTACCGTATTGTCCGATGAGGATGCATAACAATTAATGTTTCCAGACACGGGAATTCGTCGATACGGAAGTTAAACGTGACAGTGCATGCCTCTGGGCGAAAATGTAGACGATCTTTTTTTTATGTAGGCTATATATTATTATACATATATGGGTACCACCTACCCATAATATTGTTATTGTGTTAATAAACGTAATAAAAATAATATCATAACAACTACACGAATAATATAATAATAAATGGACATGTCATATATTGTTTTTACATGAACAATCTTATAGTCGTATCGAAGGACATTATATATATTACGCCGAAAGTACATAATTTTCAACTCAATAGCCGTGATACGAGTTAGAGAGAAATACATTATCTATTATGGTGCATGAAATATTCATGTTAATGATAATATTATTAAACATGTATGTACTTAAAGTCAATAACAATTGAAATGGGTTCTGCGAATTTATTTTATGTTATAAATTATGATATACCATAGCACTAAAAAGTTACTTGTATTTTAATAATTACTAAAACCAGAGGCAACAAAATATTCTAAAGCATAATTAATATCCTTCACTATACTTCCGCTACGTTAATATAGATGAAAATGGGCCCAGTTAAGTTAGTTCCAAGATTCTAAACCTCCAAACAATGTCCATGATCCTTGGCTTTGATGGGTAAGAATATTGCGGGTGAACCTCCCGTAGACTTAATGGCAGAGTTTTCAAGTATACTACACGAATCCCTTACCCTAAGTACCCTCTTTCATTTATAGAAATGCTCACAAATGATCCAATACGAAGGGTACTACGATACAATATCTAGGCTATTCTATATTAAAACCCGAAAACTTTGGAAAATTCAATAGTGCAATCTTCATAATTAAGTTATTAACACATGCATATTATATAAGTGACCAATATTATGGGAATAAAAATAATGATTTCAAAGTTTACTAATATAATTATTAGACATAAATTAGTAAATCTCAAATCTAATTAAAACTAAATATATACATTATTTATATCTTTGTTATGTAAGTATGTACTGCATGCTCTTGTGCAGTGCAAAATCATCCACTTTGTAGGTGCAGGAAACTGGTAATATATAATTATTTAAATAATTCTTTGTTGGTTTTTGTTGGAAAATACATATTTTCCTCATCCCCGATTACAGACACTGTTCTCTCAAGCATATCACAAAAAAAAATATATGCATATTTCATACTTTTAATTTAACATTCTATGTATATGACATTTAGTAAAAATCATATATTTTGAAACAATAAATTAATGACAAAAAAAAATTAATTTAAAACATAAACTGCTCTTTTATATTAATATCATACTATTTAAATAAATCAGTATACACTTTACCAAATAAACTACATAAAGGTTTAAAAAAAAAAAAAAAATGTTTTATGCATTAAACAATTTTAAATTGTACGTGAAAAAAGCATTAAAATACATACACTCGTTTTTATTCGTCTTCTTTAACTTCTACTGGGTGATTCTATTAACATTTAATTCAAAAAAGTATTAAGGTTTTTGAAAATATATTTTTTACTTAGTTTGAAGTCATTGCAAAACAATATTTATGAAAACAAATTTAATTATTTACTATTTTTATGGTTATAGTTTTAAAGTAGGTATTTTAGTTTTTTTAATGACATCATACATTTTTTATTTTATATTCCAAAACAGTATATTTTACTGTGGATTTCAAATGAATACTTAATAATATGATATAACTATTTAAAGTTTGAATGAGGAGAGTAGTAGACAAACATTTTTTTGGATAAACTTTTGCCACGCCACTCCTCTTAACTAAACTTTAAATACTTATAGCTATAAAATATGAGCAATAAGCATACATTTTTAATTTTATATTAGTCAGACTAGAATTTTTTTTCCGAAAATTTGGATTTGTAAAAATCAAATTTCGAACATGAAATTAATTATTTATACCTATTATTACTAATTAACCACTCATTCGTTTTAAAAACAATTATATAATTTTAAATATTAATTAAAATATTCTGGTACGAAATATTAAATTAAAAATGTATGCAAAATTGTATTAAAAACAGTTAAAAGTTAAAATATTAAGTTTCTAATGATAAAAATAGTAGGTACATAATATAATTTACAAGTACAATGTATTTTCAAAATGTTGTTTTGTGATAACTTCAAATTATGTGAATAAAATGTTGTTAAAATTGTTAATACTTTTAGTGATTTTGATTGTTATGGTACAGTTAATTGAATCATCCTGTATAGATTTTATGTATTTTTTACTTAATCACCTTGAAGTTGTCTCTTTTCTTTTCGTACATAAATTATTAATATATTATAATAACTAATTTCTTCTTTGTGCTACTGTTAAATCTATTATTTGATTCTATTTTATTCTAATATTTCCAGCATAATCACCTTAATCTAACGTTTTTACAATTAATTTAAAATTGATTTCCACATTTCAGACAATTTTTCCACCTCATATTGTTATTATCACTTTATTATAATTTATTTATTCGCGGTAAAAGTTATTTTAACTATTTTTAATTAAAGTTTAATTTAGCCTAAAAACTTAGATCTCATTGGAGTTGCTTGTCACCAAACAATACAAAAGTTTCATGATATATGTATTATTTTAAGGACTTAAAATTAATATAGTAACGGTATAGCTCGCGATTTATAGCCTGGCCTATAACTTACTTATCTCGTTTTTATTATAAAAACTGTGTTCAACGTACTAAACTATCAACAGTTGATTTGGAACCATTGATGATATTATCACATTGGTAAGTACAAATACACTAAATAATAAATGCGCTTACTACTACCTACTAATATATAGCCATATAGGTATACACATACTGTCACTACTATATACTTAAATTATTATAAGATGTGGCAAATCGTCGTCATACAGTTCTTTTACACATGGAAGCTGCCTATTTATCTGTTTTAATATCTAGTACAAAACATTTATAATATAAATATGACCTTAATCCATAATACTAATTGTATGTTACTAATAATGAATATATTAAGAGAAAAAGAGAATGTCATTTATAACACTTGTGTTTTTCTTACACTTCAAAAATATAGTTCAACTAATAATATAACCTCCTTAAAATACATGTTTCAAAGTACTTATTCTAATTTAAAAAAAAAATTATTGAATCCACTTCATCTAAATAATATAAAAATGTATGTATGTACCGTATACCATACTCATTTAACGTTAATAAACATAAATAATAATAGATATTAGACGATTATCATTTTAATTATATCCCATGAAGGTAAATTTAATTTAATTAATTATCAATTATACTATATTTTCTACACAATTAATAATTTAATAAGTAATTAATCTTACATACATTAATACTATTGTAATCACCCAACAATAATATGTAGAAAAAAAGTTCTATACCACAATAGTATCGTCATAATATATAATTTCGTATCGTGTCATATCAACACCTGCTTATTTTGATATATTATCAAAAATTTGTCTAGTTATAACTTATAAGTAATATTATAATTGTAAAGGATTGTTTTTCCAAGTAATGAAAATATTGCATCGTCAATGAACCAAAAATATTTAATTCTTAAATGTATGTATGTAATGTACGTCAGTTAGGTACTAATGCCTAATATGTTTGAGGGCGATGTAAAATTATTGACTTTAATTGATATAAAAGAAAAAGCTAGTATTAACGTGTATATTGATGTAAAGAAAAGCAAACCGGAACAAAGACCTATCCAATATTAATATTGTTAAATTATATGGAATATAGATGTTATAAAAGTGCGCAATTAACGCAATCATTAACGTCGAGAAGGTAATTGATACTTATAATGAGTTTGACTGGTGAAATATAGAATAGATAGTCATCAATGTGGTGTGTGCGTGAGCAGACTTCTAGAAGCACTATAATCAAGCCAACCAACATGATCATTCAATCTATCTTCATACAAATTGTAAGTACTTTTTGAACAAAATCTGTACTTTCGGGTAAAAATATATTTATATTTTTTTTTTATAGCTTACCTACGACGTTACGTAAACGTTAGTCGTGTAGGTAGGTGCCGACCTACTGCATCTTACTAATTACTAGATTTCTGTCTATAAACGTGGATTATCCGAAGCGTGTTGTCCTTTATTGCGATTATTTTTGTTTGGAAACAAAATAACAATAAATTTCTTCTTTTTTGTATATATATATATATATTATTCTAAACGAAATTGTTTACAGAGTTCTAAATAAATTAGTTTTTTATTTACAAAAAATACCAACGTTTTTTCTCCTGAAACGGCTGAAACTCAATTGTCGATTATTCATTTCGAAATCCTAGTGTTTTTCTCGGAAACATTTAAATACATAAAGTAGGTAATTGCTTTTTTATTCGACTATTCATTACTTTACAAAGCAACACAATATTCAAAACCGTAAACGAGCACCAATCATAAATATACAATGAAAGAATGTTTAACGTAAGTATATACAGGATACACTATAGTACTATACAGTATACACCCCGCATGGCAGTGCAAAATTTACTACGTCCACTACCTATTTAAAAATAAATTGATCCAACCTACAGAGCACTAGGGATAATAATCATTATCATTACATTTTTTATTATTTACACGCATTTTACACGCAATGTAGAGAAGATACATTTTAATTTCTACATCGTAATTTTTTACTTTCAATTTACCTGTACTGTCAACTTTGTCAATAATTGTTATCGATATAAATATTATCATTATAAAATACATATTATAATTTATTAAAACAATTTATGACTACATTTTAGGGTCTGTAAAATCCTTCACAAGTTACATTTTACTACAAAAAAACCCCCCTAAAAAAAACCCTGGCTACGCTACTGCCCGCTTTCCCACCTTCTTTTAATAGCACCTTCTCAATGGATAAAATTTAATACGAAATAGATGAACTAGTAAAGTTTTTAGTCCGCGTACGCATTAAACCAATAGTTTAAAATTTTAATATAACACGAGCCTTGGATTTAATTAAAACGCGAACGAGACCGATTTTGAAATGAATTCCACCGACATCGAGTGATTTTCAAGAATGTTTTCGTTTCATATAGTTTATATTCCTATATCCTAGCATAGATTACGTTTATACTCATATGGCATCCTTGCAATGTGTGGAGAGAATGAGAGATGCAGTTTGGTGGTGAGCTTAACTTCGTCAAAAGTTGTCGAATCCGTGCAAAATGCTCAAATAATTTTACCATCCCTAGAATATAGTAAAATCTTTTGTAAATGGCATATAATATTGCAAAATCAGTATTTGACTATAGGCAAAACAACAGTAGGTACCGATTTCCCTATAGCTATTTAACTTCGGGATGGTCGATGGAGGTCTTAGGTTCCCAAGCCTTATTAAATTCATTCCTACCGCTGTATCTGTACGTTAAAATTAATATATCGTATCCATTTCAAAAAATGTCGAGCTCGTCGATTTGAATATTATATTATTATGTTTGAAAGCGTAATACTTTTTCAGCGTATACAACATTTGTACGTATACAATATATTCAAGTAAATTATATACATTAATTTTTTTTTCATTTCAGACATTACAGACGTTTTGGTGGTCACTATCGACAACGGTCGAATGTGTCCTGGTGGAGCAATCAAGTGAGAGACGGACATCCGCGGACAGCGTTCCGCTTCCCGACATTCCGATGGCCAGCGAGGAGAGCGTTCACATGCTAACGGCCGTTCGATTCCCACCGCCAGCGCTGTTCTTTGCCAATCCCGACAAGAAATGGTCGCTGGGCGATTTCGAAAAACCTGATCTGGTGGCGACTTACTCCGTCACTGACGACATGCAGGACGAACAAGACGCGTACCTACAGCAGGACCCAGCCACGACCACCGAACCGGAAACGGAAGCGGAAGCTGAGGTGACCACCATAGTGGCTGAAGTCGACGAATCAGTAAACGGACTGCAGCAGACGACCGGTGACAGACACGTGGAAAGTCTGCAGCCCACCAGTGATGCACTTGCAGAGAGTCTGCAGCCAACTCACGACCGACTCGTATACAGTCAGTCTACCACCGCCGATCGAAAGCAGCAGTCACCTCCGATGCATGTCGTGAACCAACTATCGGCAGACAGTTGGTCGGAAAAACGATGGACGGCTCCCCGAAACCGACCTCGACGCCCGGTGGCATCGGAACACGGCCGACCGCCAACAAAGAAAATCGTTTTGACCAGCCGACCGCTTCCAGTGCCCGACGCCAACGTCCGGTTTCCCGACGTCGAGTACGCGGTGGCCCGACTTGGTGAGCGGAAAAACTTGGGCGATTTTCACCGACAATAGTACACGACCTGCAGTAATAATGTTAACTTGCCACTCCGATTTCCGCACTTTCGTATCGTATGGACCAAGCCTCTTAATTTGCTGCAAGTGGACATTTACTCGATTTCGCAATAATATAATTGTACTGCGTGTTGATAATACGGTGCTTGCATATTGTGTTTTAAAATAATAATAATAACCGCCGTAACATCCACACCGTTACGATGATATGACAATTTATTATTAATTAATAATCATTATAATATTATATTACACAATATAACCTGTTAGAATAATTTATTATACAATCGATTTTGTTTTTATTTTATACTTCACCGGACACTCCGATCTGTGGTTAGGAGTAATACTGTGATTAATGTAATTGATATTTTATTAAGTATCTAGAATCCTGGTACATACTATTAAACGAAATTTAGAACATAATAAATCAATGTATTATATAAATGATAAATCGAAATAATCACAGTTTGCATTCAATATATATACACTTACATAATATTATACATTATTCAGATATCAGCAACAGTTTCAAAAGAAATTCTGAATAGTATTATAGGAATCTAAATACCTAGATATATTTGTAGCTTTTGAATTCCCCATTAAAATATCTATTATAATAAAGTTAAGTAGAAATTTGACATAAAAATTGTAATGAATCAATTTAAATAGATTTTTAGATCAGTTTCCTTTTTCAAATGTATTAATTGTAAAGAAACGATTTGAAGTTTAAAAAACAAAAATTGTTGGGTAATAATATTATATTATAACGTATAAGACATAAAAGAATTATAGGATTATAACATTTTATTTAAAATCAGTAATCCCCATATTAATTTGTCTGTTCAGTAATTATTGTAACTAATCACTATTGTTTGCGAATAAAATAAGCAAACAAAAAATGAAAATCTATTATAATATATAAATAATTTTCACAATTTAAAAAATAAAATAATATATAATATGTGATCATTTGAGAAGTAACCATTTAAATTTCACTTTTAAATGGCTACAACTCTAGCTGTTCCTAAGTCTAGATAGAAGATATATAGATTATCAACTTTAACGGAATAAAATGTAATAAGATCTACAGTTGCAATGATATTTACTTATAAATTGCATAGGCTTTTGGCTATGGGATAATTTTGTTGATACTTATTTTGGCTCTTGTCCCATCACTGACCCTTTATAATTGAAATAGTAGCTAATAACTTAAGTATAAAATGTTATTTACTTTAGAATTCAATGTTATACAAATGTAAACTATATTTCTGTATATTATTTTGTAACATTATGTTACAACTTACAATATTAATAATATTAGGTTTTGAACAATATTAGCCTTGAAATAAAATACGTTCAATATATTTTACACGTATAAATATAAATTGCCTACACTGTCTCCGCGCATATTATTATACATTCGCATTTACCAATAATAATACCGAAACATAATATTTTAATATTATTACTCCTTTCAATATTATGTACTTACTATAATATTATATTAAAATAAAAAATATTTTAGAATACATTTTTAATTTATAAATATCAGTACCTAAATTATATCGTTTAAGTCATAAAAAGTGCTACCTACAAAATGCAATCATTTTTCGTATAATTATATAAATGGTATTTATTAATATATCAGGTGATCTTACCACTTATAATTTCTTCCCCTATAAAACGATACAAAATTAATTGATTTAAAATTAAATTAAAGATATGAACTCACAAAAATACCACAGTATAAAAAAAATATTGGTTACAAGTACCTATTTAACAATCAATAATGTTCGTTTTAATAAATAATAATCATAACATTAAGTAATGTTTTTACAATTTATTTGTACTTTTTTAAACTATGAAATTCAACTACCTAACGTAACGTCTATAATCACGATTTTGTAGTATAACTTTAATTAAAAATGTTATGAAATTGCTTACATCATACAACATTGTTATAGTTACATTTTATTATGTGTTATATTTTGTTTACGACTGAATACTATTTCTAATAAGACAATGAGTCATACGTTTTACATTTGTTAATACAGGTACACGATCGTTTGTCAAGAAATGCAATTCTGTTATAAAAAACGATAAATCAAAAATATATTATATATAATCCGGTTGGATTTTGAGTAATCGATTTAAATTAAACCTGAAACTCCTTGGCGACGATGGTCGGCACTCATTATCACGTACGTGTCATTGCAAATACGCCATAATATGAGAAATGATTTATCGGAATTATCACATTCCTGGATATTAATTATTATTATATCGTAGGCATTACTCGTATTTTCGTATTCATCACTGGCTGGTTCGTCAATTATTAAACATCGCGGACGTGGGAATCGGAATAATTTCGATTTTCCGAACGAAACCCTAGCGAAAGAATGGCTATCATTACCAGTCCACTCTAAATCGAAAACAGACATAAACCGTATAAATATCAATTAAGAGACCCTTCAGCTATTATAATACAACCAGCGACTACTCAGTCGATTCCACGTAAAAAAAAATAAATAATAATAATAAACCCCGTCGTCACAGATGATAAGGGTAGATAACGTACGTCCCCCTTTTCGGCTCGTTGTCATAATGCTGTCGGAAAATTAACTTTTTCTAAAGCCATAGCTATTGCCGAAATTGACGCTAGCAGATCCTGTCAAAAACGTCAACAGTGGGTTTTTTTTCACTTCAATATTAACGCGTAAATGAAAAACACAACCAAGCGATTCAAAAGTGTAAATTTCGCTTTTAATTTAACACGACCCCGTGCTGCAAAACTTTAACCATAAATCTAATTTTCAACTAACGGCTCACACCGCCTAAATGCTAACGACGAACAAAAATCAACTATTGCGATAGAATTTTCATAATAAGTGTGTATATATAAGTAACAAAACTACGGCGAAGAAATCTTCGTCATTATAGTAAGATGAACTTCAATTATTACGGAACTTAAAAAAAAAAAAATTAAAAACCACTTGGTTTTGAAAATGAATAGACAACTATATTCGCCAGGTTGTTGATAGTTGAAAGCCATGAATACTTAGATATCTGTTTTTAATTATTTTTCCAGACAAATCGAAAACAATGTAATTGACAGGCATATGTATATTGATGAAATTCCTTTTTATTTTTCACGTTAAAAATGCACCCTCTTAAAAAGTGGGTGATTTTAATTTCAATATATTTACCAGCGTCAAAAACATTCATAACATCAGGTTTTCTTAAGTTTTTCCTTATTTTTTCATTTGTTTACTATATAAAACCATATAAAACATTAATTTTAAGGTAGACTAATATAGCATTAACAAATCTGCTTTCCAAAACAAAATCCATTAACGATAAAACCATTTTATAACTTTTAATGGTGATGATCAATTAAAATGAAAACAGAATTTTTTTAGTTATTAATATTCATCAACAAAAAAAGTAGGCAAGTAGATAACCGGTCTGCTGTACATAGAAGATGTCAAGTGTTATTTTGAAAAGTATAGTGCATTTTTTATAATTTACCATCTTAATGTACCAAACCGGCATTATTTTCTACCGGAAACCACACTCAAAGTTCTTACTGATCCAAAAAGTTGACATAGGTACATTATTGTAAAATCAATACATATATATCTTTCAAAATCTAAAATGTGACCAAAAAATAATTTTTTTAAACAACTTTAAGAAATCACTATAAATGTCCAAAGGTAATTAGTTACTATCTATTAAAATGTGTAGGTAGGTACGTCTACTTAAACAAGTAATTAATTTTCCTTTTTTTATAATGTTTAAAATGTTAACATTTTATATAGGTAGTGTTTAAAAAGTGATATTTTATAATAAAAACTTCAGTATGAACGTTAATCCTTATAGATTATACTAAATATTTTTATATTATAAATAGCATTAATGAATATTTAATATTAAAAATATGCTACCACTGAACTACAACGATAATTTAATTTAACAATTTATATTAAAGTACCTATGAATGTATGATAATTCCAAGCAAATTGAAAACAATAATATTGTTTATGTATCCTGCACATAGCAGTGATTAAATATTCAACACATATTCTTGTGTGTGCGTATAATAATTTATTTTATTCTGGAAAGTTTTGTAGTATTTTATATTTTCAACATTCAATATTTTATTCGTATTATTTTCACATAATAATAATAATATATATTATAATCCTATGTTTTCATTTCAGCTTGTTGTACATCGGTGTAATTCTTGCGCTATCTAACGGCTTATGGTACAAACTAAGCCCGTTAGACTGCTTAATAATCAATACACATATCATGACATTCACATAAATTATATTTTATAAATAAACCAAAACATATAATTACAATTTTATTTACGTGGTTAAAATTAATCAGGGTATACGAATCATTTTTTAATGCGTTAGGTACTTAGGTATTATAAACTAATTATTTTCATTTTTGCGTTTTTGTTGTTTCAAGAGCTTAAACTGCATTTTTCAATAATAAATGCAAGTAGGTATACTGCCAGCCAGATTTATTCTACTAGCAAGGTTAGTTATAACTTAAATATAAATATTTAAATAAATATTTCGATTTAAATATTCCTAATAAAATGTAATATTGTGAAATTTTGCAAAAATAATTGAATGCTAATACAAATTGATTGACTTGCTCAAAGTGAATGCCATAGTTCCATTGAAGATTATGTACGTTACATATAATTATTCGACTATTATTTCGTTAATTATTGAAGAACTTTGCGTTGGTTGAAAATAATTAATTGTGAAAAAACGTTAATAGTAATAATATAGATAGAAGTAGAGCGAGGTATATTAAATAGTAGGTAACTTCTATATAGCTAGTATACCCACACGAGTGCAAGCAAGTAACAACTTATAGGAACTATTATTATTATTATTATTATTATTAAACAAACTTTAAAACAAGCATTAAATATTATGTATAACATATTATTAAAATAATAATTGAAAATTTTCATCAAA